CTTAACTTCAGTAACATACAAGAAATTCTGTATCTGTACCATTCCTCTCCCTCACTAATTACATCTTTATATTTCATGTGCCCTCTAACATAAGTTTATCCTTGCCTTTTGTGTATTTTTTATTAAAAAAAAACATGAAGGACAAAACTTTTAAAATTAGTAAGCATAAATACCTTATTACTAGCCCTTATACTTGTCCACGCATTTCCCTTTATTAGGGATCTTTCTTTTTATGTATAGCTTTGAATTACTTTCTAGTGTCTTTTCCCTTCCAACTACAGAATTCCCATTTTTATTTTTTGTAGTGCTGGTCTGTGGGCTATGAACTCTCTCAGCTTCTGTTTGTCTGGGAAATGTTTTAATTTCACCCTCATTCTTGAAGGATAGTTTCACTAGGTATTCTTGGTTGACAGTTTAGTTTTTTTTCTTTCAGCCTTTTAAATACATCATTCCACTGCCTTCTGGCCTCCAATGTTTCTGAGGAAAAATTGGCATTTAATCTTATTGGGGATCCTTCGTATGTGACTGTTTGCTTCTCTGTCACTACTTCCATGATTCTTTCTTTAATTTTTGAGAGCCTAACTATGATGTGTCTTGGTGTAAACCTCTTTGGGTTTATCCTGCTTGGGGTTCTTTGAGCTTCTTGGATTTGTAGATTCATGTCCTTCATTAGATTGGAGAGATTTTCTGTCATTATTTCTTCAAATATTCTTTCTGTCCCTTCCTCTCTCTCATCTCCTTCTGGAATTTCCATGATGCATATATTAGATCTCTTTTTATCGTCCCATAACTCCATTAAACTGTGCTCAGCCTTCTTGAGCCTCTGTTTTTGTTGCTCTTTAGCATCTGTAATTTTAATTATCTTATCCTCTAATTTGCTGATTCTTTTTTCTGCCTCATTAAATCTGTTGGCAAGTCCTGTTGTGTTTCTTATTTCAGTTATTGTCCCTTTGAGTTGCAATATCTCTTTTTTTAGATCCTCATTTTGTTCTTGCTTATTTCTTTTAGCTCTTTGTCTGTGTTTTCCCTTAGTTCTTTAATTATGTTTAATGTTGTATTACATTCTTCCATGTTTTTCATTATTTGATCATCCCTAGATGCGCTTTCACTCCCTTTGTCATTTTCATTTGGATAGGCCATTGTTTCTCTGATCTTTGTGTGTCTTGCGATTTTTTTGTTGAGGCATTGGAATTTTCAAGGCTGTTTACTTTCTCAGTTTTCCCCAGTATTTGGTATTTTTGCCTGCACTACTTTCTGCAAGAAACTCTTAGGTGGGCATAGGCTTTGGCCTTTGCTTACTATTTTCTCTCTCTGTGATAGCTCCTTCTCCCTCCCTGGTTTAATTGGGATTCAAAAGTTACAGATCTCGTTTTTCAACTTTCAGTGTCTCCCAGACACACCGGAGAACACTCTGTGGTCATTCTGTCCACCAGTGGACTCTGCCACTCAGGCGATATAGCAAGTACTTATCAATCTGTTCGCCCGGGGGCACAGTCCCCTCTCTCTGGTTATTACTCCCTTCCCTTCTCTGTTTCTGCAACCACAGTTTTAGTCGGAAAACCTACACCCAGCAAGCCTCCTTCAGGGCTCGATGTTGCCTCCAGTTTTGCCTGAGGTTTCCTTCCCTGCTCTGTGGGGGCTGGTTATATCTGAGCTGGCACTCAGGGGACGCACAGGCAGACTTTCCTCCATTTCAGGAGGAGGAGGAGTTGGCACTCCCCAGAAGGACCTCCGAGAGATCTGTGTTGTTGGTTTCAGAGCCTCAGTAGCCCTGTGGTAGCTGGGGAAGCAGTCTGCACTTAGGTGACCCACCTCCTGACTCCACTGTAGGAAACCTTCTGTAGGAGTTTGTATCAGTCCAGCAGCCAACAGTTACCAGTTGAGGGAGGGGTAGTCACACTCCAAATGGACCCCCCGGGGAGGTCTGCCTTGTTGCTATCAGAGCCTACCCTGTAGTGTGTTGGCTATGAGTGTAGCCTCCACTCAAGATGCCTGCTTCCTAGCACACAGCGGCCTCAGTCAGCAGTCCTCAGCGCCAACTCTAAGGGGCAGCAGACAGATCCAGACTGATCCCCAGAGAGGTCTCTCCTGTTGGTTTCAGAGGCCTGAGCTATGGGGTTCACAAGGAGGCGGGTAGAGTGTTGACTGTGGGAGCAGACTCCACTGCAGGGGCCTTCTGTAGCAGTTTGCAACAGCCTGGCAACCAACAATTACCAGGTAAGGGAGGCGGTGTCACACTCTGGTCAGATCCCCATGGAGGTCTGCCTTGTTGCTATCAGAGTCCTCCCGGTAGCTTGTTAGCTGTGAATGCAGCCTCCACACAAGACTCCTGCTTCCTAACACACAGCAGCCTCAGTCAGCAGTCCTCAGCACTGAATGAAAGGGGGAGCAGACATATGAGAACTGACTCTCCAGGAGGTCTGTCCTGTTGGTTTCAGAGGCCCGGGCTATGGGGTGCGCAAGGAGGCACGTAGAGACTACGAGACTATGAGAGCAGACCCCACTGCACAGCCCCTCTGTAGCAATTTGCAGTAGGCTTGCAAACCAAAGTGTCTGGGTGAGAGAGGTGCTGGCACACTCCAAATGGACCCCTGGGGAGGTCTGCCTTGTTGATTTTAGGGCAGAAGCTTGGGGTGCTGTCTCTTTGTACAGGCAAGGGCTGTGGTGGTTAGGGAAGCAGACTATTTTTCTGGAGCCACTACTCCAGTTCACAGCAGCTGGTGGCCTGCATGGCTGGGAGAGGTGCAGGGACAGTGGGAAAAGCGATTTTCCTACCATGTTGGACTTGTTGATTTGTTGATTCTTGCCTGTCTGTAGTTCCCTGCTGCCTTCCTCTGCTCCCCAATTCAGACTGTCTCAAAGCTGAGCACTATTTCCTTGTTGTTTTTCTTGTATTTGTGGAGGAGAGTTGGGACGATGGTTTATGTCACCATCTTCCCAGAATCTATTATCAGATTCTTTATAAATCTGATCTTTATTTGTCTTTGGAGGTTGGAAACATTACGGATAAACTTACAGATATATTTTAATACATACGTTTTAAAAATACGCAAATCATAAAAATTTAGTCTGACAATGAAGAAGAACAACATTGGCATTTTGTCAGTTGCAGTAATAACTCCACTTGTGGAAGGTTCTGGATCATCTGGATTATCCCTGGGGATGACGATGGTGTTTCTAGTCGGAAAATTAGCGACAGTTATTTGTTTGGTCCTTTTCTTCTTTTCTTCATATATTTCACAGTAACATGTCACTGCTTCCCAAACCTGCCTATTGACTTCAGCAAAGCGATCCTCATTTGGGTCCGTGTTTTCCAACAACTGAAGCCCTTGATTCAGTTTAGAAAACTATACGGCAGTGTTTTGAACAGTAAATCATAAAATTGAACATCTGCACGTAAACATCTGAGAAAGATAACAGTAGCAAATTACACGCTGCAACACTGTACGTAGCACATATTACTGATGATAAGATGTACAAAAACAAAAAAAGACGGTCGTTAAGTGCGGTTCATCGTAACTCGAGTACATCGTAATCGGGGACTACCAGCATTATAAGCATACTCCCATGATTTTGCAAACCTATACCAAAGCTTCCTGGTAGAGGGAAAGAAAATGATGTTCTCTGGAGACTTGAGTTTCCTTCTTTTCAATCTCCGCACTTGGAGCATTACTGCTGGTGAGAGGGCCTGCAGCAGAGACACAAGTTCCTGAAAGTGACCAATCACTTACACTTTCCCCATCTGGTTCCCTGCTGCCCTATTTGTCTTTAACTTTATGTGGTGCTCTGAAGTGTCCCCAACTCCATGTGGAACTTCTTAGCCTAGCATGCTTCTTCCTGGGTCGAGGATTATACATCTGCAAAGCAACAGAAATTGACTCTGCCCAATTTAACAAATAAAAAAATGAAATAGGGAATTTTTGTGGAAGGATATGGAGTTGCTCACAGAACGGAGGGAAGAGTGGGTAGTCAGGCCTTAGAAGGGACATGAACCAGAGCACATTTGGGGATCAAAGTAGCAGGAAGTCATTGATGTTTCTTCTGGACTCTTCTGTCAGGATGAAACAACTCCAACCATTTTTTAAATTCCTTCGAGCTTCAAATTCTAAAGGGAGAGGGAGAGAGGCTTTGCCTGGCCTGGCCACTGCATGCAGGGGACAGAAATGGTCCACAAAAGGAAACAGATATGCTGTTTGATACAAAAGAAAGGAAAATGGATGTTTATAGGGCAAGAGCAAAAGATGCCTTCAATAGGCTTCCGGTGGATTTGGCCAATGGGAGGCTCTGGAAGGAGATCAAAGAGGGTGGAAGGAAAGATGAGGGTAGGCATGGGTATTGCTTACCTGCTCCCTCCATGGCTCCAGCTCACCCGCTGGACTCCAGTAACACTATTTCTTCTCTTTGTGGACTCTGACCTAGCATTGATAAGGACTCCCCATTGTTTAGTTTCTGTTGCCTTGAACTCCACCTACACTTCCCGAATAATCCTTTCATTAAAGTCTGTTGAACCATCAAGAAAAAAAAAACAGAGGCCGCCGTCTTTGGGAAATAGTTATGTGCTGCTATGGTTAGACATGGTTCTGCTCCCTTTTACTAGTTGAGCATATTTCACGTATCTTTAGTGCCTGCTCACCACCACCCATGGCGGGGGTGGGGGCTGAGAAGGAAGAAGCAGTAACAAGACTATGTAATAAACCCATTGACATCTCTAGAGAGAAAGAGGAAGTTTCTGTGCAAACAAGTTATTAGAACAATCATACTGTATTCTCCATAGGTCTTTATTTTTTTATAATAAATAATAACAGCTGTGGTCCTGCTCCTCCCTGAAAGCTCATACCTCCAGCATCCTGTGCCGCGTTCAGAGGGTCCGTGAATGCCTCACGCCCTGTCCGTGGATCCCACGGGCTCATGGTCTCACCACGCTAACCTTGTCTCTTTTTTGTCGTTTGTTTGTTAACACTGTCTCTTCTCCCACCCTCTGCTTCTTTCCCTTTCTCCAGCACGTATAACTTCTCCACCGACGGCTTCCACAGTTCGGCCCCAGGAGCCAATCTCTGCCTGGGCTCCGGCGTCCACGGTGGTGTGGACTGGATGAGGAAGCTGGCCTTTCGCTACCGGCGGGTGAAGGAGATGTACAACACCTACAAGAACAACGTGGGTGGTGAGTGGGCTGGGAAGAGGCTGTCACCGGCAGTCCCCGGCCTGCACACGGCACATACAGGGGTCTCTGATGCTCGGGCCACACTCTCGGATGAAGGGAAAAGCGTCCAGGACAGGCGCTGTCACTGCGTCACCTGGCATGAGTGGTATCCATGCCGGGCACTATTCTGCGAGCTTTGTAAATACCAGCTCAGTTAATTTAATCCTCATGGTACCCACTAGAGCAGGGCTCTAGTATCAGCGTCTTCATTTTGAGGGTGAGGAAGCTGAGGAATAGATGAAGCATCTTGCCCAAGATTATATAAGGAGCCCTGGTGGTGCAACAGTTAAGCGCTCGGCTGCAAACCAAAAGGTGGGCAGTTTGAACCTACCCAGTGGCTCTGTGGGAGAAAAGACCCGATGATCTGCTCCCGTAAAGATTACAGCCTGGAAAACCCTGTGGGGCAGTTCTGCTCCGTCACATGGGGTCTCTACGAGTGGAAATCGACTCAACAGCACTTAACAACAGCAACCGAGATTACACCACCTGCAAGTGGGGCAGTGGGGATTGAACACAGGCAGCCGGCTCCGGGGTCTGTGCTCTTGACCACAACCAGCGGCTCCCCAAGCATGGTCCTGAGACCAGAAGCGTCACCTGGGGACTAGTCCCACCTACCCAAGACCTGTCAAATCAGAAACTAGGGTTGGGGCCCAGCAGTCTGGGTTTTTAACTAGCCTTCCAGGTGATTCTGATATAATAAGGTTAGGTTTGAGGGCCAGTGGCTTCAGCCCTCGCTGCTCAGATTGTGGTCTGGGGTCCAGCCACATGACCCTGGAGCTTGGTGGAAATGCAGACTCCACCCAGGGACAAAGTACCCAGTAAGCAAGGTACACACGGGCTTACTTGTGCTTACTTACTAATCTGTAGTGCCCACTCTCACCTGTTTTTGTGGTGAAACCCACGTGAAATTGTTCACTACAGATTAGTAAGTAAACATAATTAAGCCCATGCGTACCTTGCTTTACGGTTAATACGCCCTTGGCTCCACCCCAGACGATGGAGTCAGAACCTGAATGTCTAACAAGAGCCCCAGGTGATTTGCAAAAGCATTAACGTTGAAGAAGCACTGAAGTCACAGATTCGCCAACTTGACCCACATTGGAACCACCTGAGGAGCTTAAACCACCCCCCCGCCCCCACCACCACCACCCGGTCTGGCTTCTCCCCTCCCCCGAGATTTGGATTTTCCAGGACCGGGGCCACAGAATTCATGGTGGGTGATTCTAATGTGCAGTCACGGTGAGAAGCCATCCTCAATCATAGGGCAGCCTCTGTTTATCACACGGAACAAGAAGTCTGGAAGGGGCTGTGGGCAGGGTGGGCTCAGCAATGGCCGGGCCCTAGATCGCTGTTTCTGGAATTCCCTAGACCAGTGGTTCTTAACAGGAGGTGATACTGCTCCCTGGAGGAGGCGTTCGGTGGGATTTTTGGTTGCACAGTGCCTGGAACCAGCTACTGGCCGATAGGGGAGAAGGTTTGAGTAGGGCGCTAATAAAGGAGCCCCGGTAGTGCAACGCTTAAGCACACACAGCTAACTGAAAAGTTGGCAGTTCTAACCCACCCAGTGGTTCCATGGGAAAAAGACCTGGCAATCTGCTCCCGTAAAAATTACAGCCTAGAAAATACTACGTGGCCGTTCTCTGTCACAAGGGGTCCTATGAGTTGAAATTGACTCGACAGCACCCAGCAAGAGCAACAGGCAGCTATTAGTGTCTGCCATACACACCTTGGCTCCAGAAGCTTCTAGGGCTTCCTCCCTCCATTCCCAGAAAGAGAAGAGCCATAGGCAGAATCCAGAGTCTCAAACGGGACAGAAACCACTGTCACTCCTGGCTGTGCCAGTTTCTCGCTGAGACCTTAAGATACATAATCTCTCTGGGCCTGGATTTCTAAGTCTGTAAAATGGAGATTAAAATAATTCTGCTTCCCTGGGTTACTGGGAGGTTTATTGTTAATGCATACAAAAGGCACGCCTCCGTGCCTGGCATGTGGTGAGTGCTCAATAAATGGTAGCAATTGTTATCACTGGTTGCTTTTGGTTCCCTGTGTCTTCTGCTTCCACATCGGCTCCTTTGGGATAGATTTTCTGTCTTGATCATACCTACAGCCCTAATGCCCAGCCCAGGTGCTGAGTACCGTCCTGAGATCAGCGAACATTTATTGAGTGCTTACTGTGTGCCAGGACTTTTCCTGTAATGTTTCACTTGCTTTTTACAACATCCCTAATAGGTAAGTGCTTTTAGAATCCATGGTGTATGAAGGCAGAAAGTGAGATCAGAGAGGTTAAGTAACCTGCCCAGCATCACACAGCCTAGGCCAGAGCCATGGTTCTGCACATCACACTACCCTCCTCGACCGCTCACACCCAAGTCCGTGGACTGCAGGAGTGATGCACTGAGCTCGAGTTAGGGTCACCCAGCCTGTTCACCATAGGATTTCTTGGGAGCGGGGTGTGTTTGGGGCGAGGGAGGCAGGGGTGGAGTCTGCCACCAGCAGCCATCTGCTCCTCATCCAGGTTCCAAAAACCAAAACCAAACCCATTGCCACTGAGTCAATTCCGATTCACAGTGACGCTATAGGACAGAGTAGAACTGCTCCATCGGGTTTCCAAGGAGCAGCTGGTAGATTCGAACTCCTGACTTTTTGATTAGCAGCCAAGCTCTTAACCACTGTGCCACCAGGGGCCCCATCCAGGTTAAGCCCCAGGAAATGCCCAGAGCTGCCGTCAGGCTCCTGTGCTCTCCCCTAAGCTGGGGGAAAATGACCTGAGGTGTCGGCAGGTGGAAAAGCTTGCAGCCGGCAGGGTGCCAGCAGCCCTTGGCTGTGCAGGAGCTGCTTCTGTGTTGTAAGGCTGGCCAGGTGCAGGGCTGAGCCTTCCAGTCTAAGGATGTACTCAGAGCCCAGGATTCCAAACTGAGGGGCCCTTGGGGGTATGCTGGGCAGAGAGGCATTGGCAAAAATATAGGCTAAAGGGAGAAAATGCTTAAGTCAACATCTGGTAGATAGTGATGGGGTTCAGAGGCCTCCTTTGCCTGATTTCCTAGCCGCCCTTCCTGTGTAACCCTGTGCAGGTTATTTGACCCCTCTGTGCCTCAGTTTCCTCGTATGTAAAATGGGGATAGTTATGCTGCTCAACTCATAGAATTAATGTCAGGATTATATAAATGAATGAACACATGGAAGACACTTGGAACAGTGCCTGGCACATGATAAGTGCTTCAAGAATGTTGCTGTTGTTATCTGGGGAAGGTAGGGAGGAGGCCAAGCCCGGATGAGAAGGCTGAGGGGCGGGATGAGCAGACAGTAGCTTGAAGCATACTCCCTGGCGTAGGAGGAAGTAGGAGTGGTTGACCCATGGTGCACCTTGCTGAGAGTGGCATGTTGAGTGGTGACAGGGTTCAAATCGTGCAGGGCCTTATAGGACATGGGGAGTACTTTGGACAGCTGGCATCTTTGATGTCAAGAAGATGCCTAAATAGCAGAGGCACACGGCAGCATTTTGTCCCAACGAATTTGTTTTCCTTCAACCAATATCGATTCAGCACCAAGCACGTTCCAGCCCCTGCTCTAGAGGCTGGGACTGTGGTGGCGAACAAGATGACTCGGCCCCTGGCTTCATAGAGCTTACTGTCTAATGGTAGAGGCAGACAGCAAACACGTAATCACACAGAGAAGTTTTCAATTATAGTTGTAAGAAGTGCTCTGAAGAAGGGGTGCATTGTGTTGGGAGAGGGTAAGACAGGGGACCTGACTCAACCTAGGGGGAGCTAGAAGAGGCCTGCCAGGATAAATGGCATTTAAGATGAGGCCTGTGTGCGGAGTGTGAAAGATTTAGCCAGGCAAAAAGGGGAGGTGAGATGAGTGGTCGAGGGTCCGAAATGCGGTGTGCAAAGGTCCTGAGGCAGGAACACACTTGGTGTTTCAAGGAACAAAGAGGAGGCCACCAGGGCTGGGATGCAGGAGATGAGATTGGCAAACTAAGAGGTGGCAGGATCATGCTATGAAGTCTACACTTGATCGTAAGGGCCCTGAAGGCTGAGGGAATGACTGTCGGGTCTGGAAACAGACACAGAGTGAGCTCTGAAGGGCGGCTGCCTGGGTGCCAAACGTGTATCCACTGTTTCCTCCCTAACTGATTGTGAGCCAGCCAGTTTACCTCACAAAGCCTCAGTTTCTTCGCCTGTAAAATGGAAAATAAAAATAGTGTCTACCTCTAGGGTCGCTGTAAGAATGCATTAAATAGTGCTCGCTTCGGCAGCACATATTCTAAAGTTGGAACAATACAGAGGTTAGTTAGCATGGCCCCTGCGCAAGGATGACGTGCAAATTCATGAACTGTTCCATATCTTTCTGTGTACATTCTCAACAACAACAACAAAATAAATAAAATTTTTTAAAAATGAAATAAATCATTAAAAGCGCAGGAACCTACACATAATAAGTGCCCGATAAATGTTAGTCATTAGTATTTTTACTGGTATTATTAATTCTCTGTCTCTACCATGCCAGTGTAAGCACTGCAGTCTGCAGGTTTTCTTCATCTCCACACTCAGCACAGTGTCAAGCACATAGTCCAATCCAAACCGAACACATTGCCATTGAGTCGATTCTGACTCGTAGCAACCCTATAGGACAGAGTAGAACTGCACCATAGGGTTTCCAAGGAGTGGCCAGTGGATTCGAACTACTGACCTTTTGGTTAGCAGCCAGTCTCTTAACCACTGCGTCACCAGCTCACTAGTTAAGCATTTCGTCCGCTAACCAAAAGGTTGGTGGTTTGAACCCACCGAGCGGCTCCTAGGGAGAAAGACCTAGCAATTTGCTCCTGAAAAGATTACAACCTAGAAAACCCTATGGGGCAGTTCTTCTCTGTCACAAGGGGTCGATATGAGTCGAGTCGATTTCGACAGCACCTAACAACAGGTGAGAAAGAAAGAATGACAGCACTGAGATCCAGCAATAAACAGAAAAGCATCCCTGCCTTTGTAAGCACATAGTAGGCACGCCTAGATTCTTTGTTGGATGGATGGAGGCAGGGAGCGGGGGAAGTGAGTGGTAGGTGGGTGGGTAGATTAATGGATAGATGGGTAGATGGATGAGGCAGAGAGGGAGGGGAAAGTAGATGGTGGGTAGGTCGATGGATGGAGGGATGGGTGAGTGGGTGGGTAGGTGGGTGGGTCAGTGGATGGATGAGTGGGTGGGTGTGTGGATGGGTCAGTGGAGGGGTGAGCGGGTGGGTAGGTGGGTGGGTCAGTGGATGGATGGATGGGTGATGGCTAGATCGATGGATGGATCGATGGGTTGATCCCAGGTTAAGATTAAGAGAAGCCACTGGATTGAAGTTGACCTTCTTGTCATATGGTTTGAACCTTCAGGGTGCAGTGGCCAGACTCCCCTTCCTACCTCTAAAATGGGCTTCCACATCTTTATTTTCCTTTGTCCACAGGCTTGATAGGTGCTCCCAAAAGAGAGACCTGGCTACAGCTTAGAGCCGAGCTGGAAGCGCTGACCGACCTCTGGCTGACCCACTCCCTGAAGGCACTAAACCTCATCAATTCCCGGTAAGTCGGAGCCCCTGTTTTCTTTCATGCCACTAAGCTTTCTCCCAGGCTAGGGTGGTGGCCCCTCCGTTTCCACAGTCAGGGGGACAGAACTCCCCAATTCTCACTTGTGACACTTTGCAGACATTTAATAAAGCAGAGGTGTGCAAGGCACAGTGGCCACCTCAAAGCACAGCTGAGCAAATAGCTGCAGAAGTTATCAAGGTCCAGCATATTTGTACATAAGTCCTCCTTGTCCCATCCACTCTTGCCCGAAATACCCACGAGTCACAGCATTATCCTCTGTTAACGGTTTTATAGGACGTCTCAGATCACCTGGTGGGTTCCTAGTGAGTAGAAGAGGGTCAACTTTCATTCCAATAAATTGCCTCTCATTCTTATATAAGATCATCTGGGCCAGAGAACAAATTACTCTCCTGCAGTAGCATCAAAAAATCTTGTGACTCAGCAAATGAATAATTACAAAATGACAGCCCATGGGCTGAATCCATATTATTTATATGTTTTATTTGACTCACACTGTTTCCCAAACACTGGGAAAGTTCACATGTAACCCCAGGTTTCTGGATTCTCAAAAGATCCAAACTGGCACACGCAGTCCAGTTTATCCCAGTCCCCACCCCTCCCTGCTACCCTACGCTTGTTCCATGACACTCATTTACAGTATCTGTCCGGCTCCTGCAGCTGTGTACGCGTGCCACCCTTGCAGTAAACATTTGTTTTTTAAATAAGAAAAGACTTGAACCCATATTGCATTTCAGTGTGTCAGGCGCTGCAGGCTTAAAAGAGAGGAACAGCTGGAGGATCCTTGGGCCCTGCCCTGGCCTGGAGCTAACCACCAGAACACACTGACCACCCATATATCCATCTACCCATCCCTCCATTCATCCACCTACCTACCCACCACCCAGTGTCCTCTGCCTCCCTGCCTTTATCTGTCCATCAATTCATCCATACATCTACCCATCCAACAAAGAATTCAGAAGTGCCTACTATGTGCTTGACACTGTGCTGAACCTGTGGAGATGACGTAGCCAGCACCAGAATTCCCAGCCGCTCCGGGCTCATGCTGCAGGATCAGGAGGCCTGCCTTTGTACTTTCGAGTTCTGAGCCACAGTCTCCTTTGTCCTCAGGCCCAACTGTGTCAACGTGCTGGTCACCACCACTCAACTAATTCCTGCCCTGGCCAAAGTCCTGCTCTATGGACTGGGCTCCGTGTTTCCTATTGAGAACATCTACAGTGCAACCAAGACAGGTAGGGAGAAGCCAGAGCTCGGGGTGGTGCAAGGAGAGAGGGTGGGGTTAACTTTCCATCCTGGATATGAGAGGTTTACGGAACTTGTCCACAGGCATGACTCGGATGCCCAAAACAGCCCTCGCAACCCACTTGCCTTCCTTCTGCTTCTAGAAAAATGTATTAGGACTGTAGTTTTTGAACCCATTGCCATCGAGTCGATTCCAACTCATATGGACCCTATAGGACAGAGTAGAACTGCCCCACAGGGTTTCCAGGGAGTAGCTGGTGGATTCGAACTGCTGACCTTTTGGTTAGCAGCCGAGCTCTTACCCTGGTGGCACAGTGGTTAAGAGCTCTGCTGCTAACTAAAATGCTGGCAGTTCGAATTCACCAGCTGCTCCTTGGAAACCCTGTGGGGCAGTTCTACTCTGTCCTGTAGGGTCACTATGAGTCAGAATTGACTCAACAGCAGTGGGTTTGGGTTTGGTTTTTTTTTTTTTTTTTTTTTAATAGTTTTCAAAAGTGTGTTAGTTAGGCTACATGCAAAGCTGCTATAACAAACATACCCCAGAATACAAGGGCTTAAATAAGATCCAAACCTTATTTCTCTCCCCTATAACAGACCTGAGTTGAATGATCCAGGCTGGTGGAGTGACCCAGGAACCCAAGTCCTTCCCTTTTTATTTGTCCATCATCCCTAATGGTTTTATTCTCATCCACAAGGTCAAACCTGAGTTTCTGCCACATTGTCATCCCAGCTTGTGGGAAGGGGTAAAAGAGGAAGGAATAGATACCAGTCTTCGCCTGGTATCTTAAGGCCAAGACTCAGAAGGGGCGCACATCACTTCTACTCACCTCCTATTGGTCCCAGCGGAGTCACATGACCTCAACTAGCTGCAGGGAAGCTGATCTGTAGCTGAGTGGCTGTGCGCCCAGCTAAAACTCACAGAATTCTATTACTAAGGAAAAAGAAGAGGGCAGCTCCCCCCACAGCATGGTACATGAGGTGATTTTAATTTAGGTGGTACAAATCATCAGATAACCTTGAACCTGTTCTCAAACCACATAGAAATGGTTAAATGCTCGGCTGCTAACCGAAAGGTTGACAGAACCTACCCAGTGGCTCTGCGAGAGAAAGACCTAGTGATCTGCTCTGTAAAGTTTATAGCCAAGAAAACCCTATGGGGCAGTTCAACTCTGTCACATGGGGGTCACTCTGAGTCAGAATCAACTTGACAGTACCTAACAACAACAAGCTTGAAGATCAGAGAGCTAAAAGTAATCAAAGTTGAGATAGGACACGAATTTGGCCTCCAGCTCCCTAGTTTTACTAAAAGATCCTATATTTTTTCAATGGTCAGTTTCTGCCCTGATAATGCTGCATAACAAACATCCCCAACACTCCATGGCTTACAACAGCAAGCTTTTTATTTCTCGCTCATGGGTCCGTGGACCAGCTGTGGCTCTACTGGGCTTGACTCCAGGTTCTGGTCTGCTCCACATCTCTCCTCATCATGGACCAGTGGCAATCCAAGGCACATTCTTCTTATGGCAGAGGGTAAAAGTGCAGGAGGTCAAGCCAAACACCCACACCCATTTCTTGTGCCAGGTCCCTAACATTCCACTGGTCAATGCCAGTCACGTGGCCAAACCCAACATCAGTGGGATAGGGGAATAAACTCTGTCTACTCTAGTAGGCAAGTCCCTAGGTGGTACAAATAGTAACATGCTTAGTTGCTACGTAAAGGTTGGAGGTTCGAGTATACCCAGAGGCACCTTGGAAGAAAGGCCTGGTGATCTACTTCTGAAAAATCAGCCAATGAAAACCCAATGGCGCACAATTCTACTCTGACACACATGAGGCCGCCATGAGGTGGAGTCAACTCTGTGGCACCTAGGTATTCGCTTCCCTCCTTGGTCCTCACGGAGCTTCTTTTTCTCTTTCCTTCTTCTGTGCACGCAGGGAAAGAAAGCTGCTTTGAGCGCATCATGCAGAGATTTGGCCGCAAAGCTGTGTACATCGTAATTGGTGATGGTGTGGAAGAGGAGCAGGGGGCCAAGAAGGTACTTGCTTCTGTCTCTCCAGCTTTTTGAGCTGTCCTCATGATTCTCTAAGTCTCTCCATGCAGATTTGCCCAGCTGTCCGCCACTGGTCCTCTCTTTCCCGGGCTGTTTGCTGGCCAGTCCATTCCCATTTGCAAATCACAGAAGCATCCTGAGTAATTTCCTTCCACAAATCCCGCTCCAGGCCTCTGGCCGCGGCCCCTGGTAGCCCTGGATTGTTTCTAGGATGGCTCCTGGGAGCCCAGGGACGCTCGTCAGGGCAGGTGGGCTGGGGGTGGGTGCGTGTGTGTGTGTTTTATTTCATCCTTGCTGCTCATATGTTCCAGGAACCCTTCCCAGTTAATAAAGATAGCATTAAGCTAATGAAAAAGAAAATCCCACATTTGTGATGTCGGGCCTGTGAGGAGAGGGCCGGGGCTCTGGTGGCTGCAGCTCTGCTCTTGGAAAAGAAACAGCTGCCAAGGTTCCGGGTCTGGGGCTGTCAGCAGCATCCCAGAGACCCTGCCACCCCCACCCAGGGGCCTGAGAAGTGGATTGTTAATGTCACGGAGCTTAATTCAGGGGACCTGGTTTCCCCTTTCCCTACTCAGCAGCAAATCCCAAGGAAATGCAAAAATGTTAAGGGCCTCAGCGTATGAAAACTCACAAGAAGAGGAGAGGCCTGAAGGAGGGGCTCGGAGAGGGGAGGTCAGAGGCCTTTGCATGTTCTGTTCCCTCAGCCTGGGAGGCCCCCCACCCCACCCAGCTCATCGGGCTTCCTCCTTCGCCTCGCCTTCAGCACCACTTCCTGAGCGGGGATTCCCTGCCCAGCCAGTCCTGTGACTCCCACCCGGGGCTGCCCCTATTCTTTCTTCAGACTGCTGTCCCCTCTCGTCACACAACAGGTATCTGTGTGGTTGGTACTTTCCCATGGACTCTCCGCGAGTGTGTCAGCTCCATTAGCTGAGCACCTACTGTGTGCCCAGCACTGTTCTGGGCACTAGGGATCCTGCCGTGGACAGGACAGACAGGCCCTGCCCTCACAGGGGACAAGCTGGGGACAGGCAGTAAACACAAGTATAACGTGTGTCACGGGTGACAAGTGCTTTGGAGGAAAATCAAGCATGGGGAAGAAAGCGTGGCCGGGGGTTAGGGGCAGGTTGCAAGTGTAGGTGGTGGCCAAGGCCAGCCTCTCCGCAAAGTGACATCTGAACAAAGACCGGAAGGAGGAGAGGAAACAGGCGTCAGGGGGAAGGGCTCCCATCCAAGAGAGGAACCAGGACATGTAGAGGTCCGAAGGGGGCCAGTGTGGCTGCTGTGGAGGATTGGGCGAGTGGGGAGTGGCAAGAGGCTGTGGGGCGACACCTGCGGTTTATTTCTCATCTCTGGGTTTAGTATCCAAAGGTGCCGCGGAGCATGGTGGGGGTTGTCACATTGATTCTGGGCAGGGCCCAGAGATGCCAGACAGCAGCTTAAACACAGCAGAGGTTTCTTTCTGTCCCCTGGGACAGCAAGAGTGTAAGCCGCCCAGGGCTGCTGAGGCAGCGTGGGGACTGGGGGCATCCAGGCTCATTCTCTCATGTGGCTCCGCCAGCCCTGGACACTGCTGTTTCCACGAGGCCCAAGATGGCCCCCAGCTCCCCATGTCCTCATTCCAGCCCGAGGGAAGGGGGAGGGGAGGGGAGAACTCACCCCTCCCTTGTAAGGCACAGCGCGATCCAGGTGGATGGCCCACTGACCAGATTGTGGGAGGCTGGGAGATGCAGCCTTGTCAGTGGCCATGCGCCCAGCTAAAAATTGGGGGTTCCTTCTGGGAGAGAAGGAGAGAAGGGATGCTGGGGGCAGCTGGCAGTCTGGGTTGCAGCTGACAAATGGCAGGGCTGGGACTGGCACCCAGGGGCGCCCAACCTAACCCCAGGCCCTTAATCATTGCTCTTCATTACTGACATCATCATCATCATTATATTTAATCCTCAAGTGCCCCCTGCAAGGTGGGTATCGTCACATCCCATTTTACAGAGGGTGGATTTGAAGCTCAGAGAGGTTAACGGGTTTGCCTAAGGTCACACAGCTGGTACATGCAAACCTTCCTGCATCTTGCTCCAAATGCCTGGCAGGGAGAGGAGGAGGGAGTTGGGGGCGTCTCAAACACAGTCCATTCACACCCCTGCGCCCACCAGAGAAGACAAGGGCATCCCCCACCAAGCTCCCCTAAAAGTCACTTTGCCAGGGTGTCTGAGGTGGAGCCCAGCTGCTGTTAAGCGGGCTGTCCCGGCAGCTCTCCAGCCTGATGGATGGGAATCATTAGCCCAGGCCGCCGGACACCTGAGCAGCGTGAAATATGGCGACGGGACAGAGGGCCTGGGTGGTTCCCGCTGACAGTGTTGTTAATATCTCCACTTTAGTGGGCCATTTGTCTCCGCCTCGCCGCAAGCGATAAATCCACCAGCTCTCCGGAGCCACCAGGCTGGAATGAGGAGGCCTAGGCATTTTTTTCCTCCTTTGCTGGTTTTCACACAGAAAAATGGACTTTAAAAGGACCGAGATTGGCTGGGCAGCCACCAGAACCTGTCCTGCAGCTGAAGCTGGTGCAGGGGAAGGCAGGCTTGGGTGGGGAAAGGAGAGGGTGGGAGGAGCTAGGGGCAGCTGGACGGCATCGTTGTCCTTGATCGGTGGTTCCGCTTCCCTTCAGCAGGAAGTTGTGTAGCAGCAACGGAACAAAACAGAAAAACAGTCCATGGAGAGCTTTGCCTGAGAAACTCACCTTCCCGTTGTTTCTCCCTCTTTCATTCCTTCCACAAATGTTTCTTGAGCACCTACTATGTGCCGGATGCCATGTGATGCAGCCAGGAACACGACACTCCAAGTGCGAACCCTCCTCTGGGCCTTTGCACTTGCTTTGTCTTCTGGGCCAGGACTGCTCTTCCCCCAGATCTCTGCATGGCTCCCTCCTTCTTGTCCTTCAGGTCCCACTTAAATATCACCTCCTAGGAGCCCTGGTGGTGCAGTGGCTAAGCACTTGGCTGCTAACCAAAAGGTCAGCAGTTCAAACCTACCCAAGCGGCTCCACAGGAGAAAAGACCTGGTGATCTGCTCCCGTAAAGACTACAGCCAAGAAAACCCTATGGGGCGGTTCTACTGTGTCACATGAGGTTGCTATGAGTCGGAATCGACTTGATGGCACACAACAACACAACAAGCGGGCTTCTGAACCCGCTTATGAAAAGTAAACACACACCCAGCTGCTTTCTGCTCTCTCTCCCTCTGTTCCATTCAGGGCTTCAAACCTGTTCATTCAAGTTCAAGCCCTTGCTGTGAATTTGCATTTCTAACGAGTTCCCAGGAAGTTATACATAAGAATCACCTGGCTATCTTGTTAAACTGTAGATTCTGATTCAGTATATGTGGGGTGGAAATGCAAATTCTCAGCACTTACTGCAAGATGAAATCATCTTGTTTCTTATCAATGGGTTTATTATCTGTGCCTTCAATGGAAGCCCCATGAGTGTGTGCCACCTGTCGGAAGGCCCCTCTGGGGACACAGCTGTGAACAGTCAGGCCAAGTCACTGTCCTCCGGAGCGCATGTTTTTGGGGAAGAATCAGACCCCATCTGCCTCCACAGATATGAGGAAAGCTGCAAAGGAAACAAGGTCCTCCACATGAACCAAGTTGACATACACAGATGCTTAGAAAGATCATCCCATTAGCCAGTGAGGACAGGAAGTAACACAAAGAAGGGAAGGAGAGGAGGAAAGGAGAAATTCTCCTAGGCGCCTCTCTCTCTAGTCATGGAGGAAGACCTTTCCCAGAAGCCCCCAACCGGCCTCCTCATTGGCGGGAACAGATCACATGACCACCTCCAGACCAATGCCTGGCAAACACGGCTGGAATCGTCACATCTTAGAACAATCATGGTTCATCCCCTGCATCCGGTCACAATGCTGCGAAATTCAGGGTTCTATGGCAAGGAGGTGGAAGCCCTGGTGGTGCAGTGGTTAAGAGCTACAATTGCTGACTAAAAGGTCAGCAGTTCAAGTCCACCAGCTGCTCCTTGGAAACCCTTCCAGTTTTGCTCTGTCCTATAGGGTTGCTATGAGTCGGAATCAACTTGACAGCAACAGGTTTGGGATTTTTTTTTATAACAAGGAAGTCCCTGGGTGACACAGATGGTTAAGCACTTGACTATTAGCTGAAAGGTTGATGGATCAAACCCACCCAGAGGCACCTCAGAAGACAGGGCTGGTGATCTGCTTCTGAAAGGTCACAGCCTTGAAAACCCTAGGGCGCAGTTCTACTGTGCACACATGGGGTCGTCACGAGTTGGAATTGACTCGACAGCAACTAACAATAACAACATAAGCAAGGAGAAAGATGGCCCTTAGGCAGGCTCTGGGTGAACAGAAATGGTGTGACCGACCTAGTGGTCCTGGCCAGATGCGGGCCTGCCAGAAACATAAGGTGCCTCACAGGTTAGTAGACGCGTACACCCGAGCCTGACTTGGGTGACTTCTCAGAAGGCTCTCTAAGCCTTGGGCGCGGGGGTGGGGCCTGCGGGAGACACAGAGCGGAGCGTAACCTTGTGGGGGATGTCCTGTGTTCCAGCACAACATGCCTTTCTGGCGGATATCCTGCCACGCCGACCTGGAGGCACTGAGGCACGCCCTGGAGCTGGAGTATTTATAGCAGAGCCAGCAGCATCTCCACCGGCATCGCTGGATGCATGGCGCCCACCCAGGCCCCACGCCTTCCCCACCTCCCCACCGAGCACGCTGACCTTGGACACCAGGCAAGCAGACGCGTCTGCTGACCATCTCAGAAGCTGTTCTTTCCGTCCAAACAAGGGTCCTGAAAGGCGAGGCACCCAAAACTGGCTTCAGAATATTTGACTTCGGGGAAAAGGGCTGGCTCAGAGTCCAGACTTTTCTACAAGACTTAGAGAACAAAAGCAAGGACTTGCTGATTTGGGGGAGGACTGGTGGCAAGGAGGGGGGCAGGATTTTTTTTTTTTTTTTTCTTTTTAATTTATGGACTAATCGCATTACTCCGGTATTATGCTCTTGTACCTGTGTTGTTGGTTTTCTTAGTCGTTGGTTTGGTTTGGTTTGGTTTTTTTCAGCTGGCATGTGGGGTGGTTCATGGTTCTAATTTAAGCACTCTCTTCTCCAAGTTATGCTTTTGGGGGACAATCATTCTTTGAACATTAGCAAGGGAGGAGATTTTGGGCTATAGGGGAGACTATTGCTTATTTTCAAAGAACTTACCTGACGTCATGTGGACAGTGCACGTGCCTTATGCTGCCATCTTGTTTTCTAGGGAGAGGGGAACACTGGGAAGGAAGCAGTACTTTGTGATGGATAAAAGGCATTAAATAAAACTGCGTTTACATTTTGAAGGCGGGTACAGGATGGCTATTTTATTACTACTTTTGACGCTTACAAATGTTATGTCAGTCTTTTTCAGAACTCTTTCATTTCCAAAAGAATAAAAATTCCAACTCAAAGTGGCTTAGGCCAAACAAAAAAGAAAATTGTCTCCAGGAATTTTAGATGACATCTGCTTCAGGCATAGCTGGATCCAGGTGATCAAATGACTTTCTCCTGTGTGCCTTAATTCTCAGGCAGGCTGTTCCATGTTGTGGCAAAGATGGCACCGAGAATCCTTCAGCAAAACCAAACCAGCAGAAAAAGAGTACCGCTTTCACAGTAGTTCTGGCAAAAGCCCCAGGATTATGTCTCACTGGCCTACTTGGGTCATGGGTTTCCCATGGAGCAGGGCTTAGGGTTGGATCCCTCATAAACAGAAAATTGGGTCACTCAAAGGGAAAACTAGCAAGCTGTTACTAAAAGAAGGGAAAATGGGACTTGGGCTGGTACATATAATAAACTTCCAATGATGGGAATTTGTTTTCTGGTGGGTGGGAAATGAGTCAAGGATCCAGTGTAGGGGGCAGGGAGGGACATCTGGAGAAGTTCTGAGGACATCTTGTACCGTTGCTGTCCATAGAGGATCAAGCAGGGCCTGAATCTATCTGATTTGGGTGCTAAACAGAAATAGTCTCCTACCTCTATCCATGTTGGTGAAACCCAGGGTGAACATCTGGTTGGTGCCCATGTCAGTGGAGATGGAAGTCTCAGAGTTATCATCTCTGATGAACAGAAAGCCATCACCAAGAATGAGACAGACTCTCTCCAATAGACGCTGAGTCCCCCCAGGGGCAGGTGCTGTTGGTTTCATATCTGTATCCCCAGAATCAAGCACAGAGTCTTACCCAAAGTGGAATCCCATTATAGATGGGATGGAAGGAAGGATGGATGTATAATTGGAATCATATAGTCAGATGGATAATTGAATGGGTAAATGAACATTTGGGCAGATAAATGAATAGATGGTTAGATAGTTGGGCTGGTAGGTGGATGGATGATTGGTTAGATAAGATGGTTGAGCAACTGGAAGGTGGATAAATGGCTGAGTGTTGGAGGATGAACAGATAGAAGAATGGATAACAGTGTTGGTTATGATTAGATGGATGGTTGGCCAGATGATGGATGGATGGATGGGTGGCTGGGGGAGTGGATAGGTTTCACTGGTCCCAGGCTGCCTGTCTTCACTGTGTGCCCGGCAGTGTCTTGCAGCTCTCCAGAACACTCTTAGAGTAACCAGACTATTCAACACTCAAAACAAAAGCCCTTAGCCTCCCAGAAGTCTGAGGATGACTTCAGAACTTCCTGACCAGCCCTGCAGAAGGATGGTGACCTGCAGGAAGTCCCTGGGTCTGCCTCTGTGGCTGAAGGAATTTGCCTATCCAAGGGATTTAGAAGCCAGAGACCCAGAGCTACCATTAGGCTTTTTTTAGTTGCAAAGTGACTTAAACAAAAAACGGGATTCATTGGTTTACTTAACTGAAAGGTTCAGGAATGTGCTGACCTCAAAAAACCAAAACCAGTTGCCATTGAATCGACCCCAACTCATGGCGGGCCCCTGTGTGTCAGAGTAGAACTATGCTCCATAGGGTTTTCATGGCTGATTTTTCAGAAGGAGATCACGGGGCCTTTCTTCCAAGGTGCCTCTGGGTGGACTCAAACTTCCTTTCAGTTAGCAGCCGAGCATGTTAACCATTTGCACCACCCAGGTACTGAGGTTACGTGAAGGTCCACCATTTACCAGGGGCCCTTATAGAACTGTGGGTGCAGAAGTGAAAAAGACAGAAGAGGCCCAACCTCATGAAGCTATTTCCTGTGGAGGGAGCATGACAAGAAAGTAGGCAAATTAATCTTGTTAGACTCAGTCTTTGCAGTATCTAGATCAGCAAGGTTGTCCAGAAAGAAGGTAGGTGGTGCTGACCAGCCAGAAGCAGGAAACCTCCACCCCTAGTTCCTTTACACACCCCACTTTCCGGCTTTCTTTCCTACCCGAGCTACAACTTAATTCCCCTTCCAAGAACTTCCTAGTGGTCAGAAGAGAAGGTAGATCTGGGAGCCGTAAATTAGCCACCTTCAAAACACCTGTGAAGGGCTCCTGAGACTGCACTTTCCAGAGCGAGCACAGAATCCGCCCCGTGAAACACTGAGGATCCATAAAGGGATCACAGTGCTTGTCCAGGGCATCGGGCAGTGAGGCTCTTTTTGCTGGTTGAGGGTTTTCTGGGTTTTTTTTTTTTTTTTTGCAAATGTGTTGTTACATATATTTTTACGATAAAAAAATAGAAAAAAAGTAAAAAAAAAAAAAAAAGAATAAGGGGTTAGAGAGGGAAGAATGAGAACAGTGGGAAAGGGGAGAGTGGGTCTGGGTAGAAGGATAGCGTTCCCTCCTGCAGGCTTGGTGCCTGGCGGTCCCTGCTTTACTGAGATGTGATTCACACACTACACGCTGCTAGAGATGTGAACGTGCAGAATGCATGATGTGGCGCCAGTCGGCGAGGACCAAGGCTGCTTCCCTTCAGTGTGGGGTGATTCTGCGGGGGCTGGAGGCCTGAAGGGAGCACGGGGGTACCTCTAGGTGGACTAGCTGGAGCAACGTGGGGGCACCACAGACTGGCTAGCACTTCGAAGGAGGTGATGTTTGAGTGCAGACGTGAGTGATGAGAAACTCTGGGAGGTGTCGCAAGGAGAGGAAGTGCAGAGACCTCCATGTGGGAGAGGGCTTGTGAACTGCAGGGAAGGAAAGGAGGCCATTGTGGCTGGAGCCAAGAGGCAAAGTCAATGACGGGGTCAGATGGCGAAGCCGGGGCCAATCTGGGTGGACTTTGTTGGTCTTGGATATTGGATTTTATTCAAGTTGGATTTTATGCTAAATCCAAGAAGAAAACATCAGAGGGTTTTAAGGAGTAAGACATAATCTGCTTTAATTTTTTTTCTTTTTTAATATTTTATTGTATTTTTTATAAAAGTATATACAGCGAAACAGGTTCGCATTCATCAGTTTCTACACATCCTGTTCAGTGACACTGCTTACATGCTTCACACTGTGTCAACATTCTCCTTATTTCCGTTCAAGTTCCACTCCCACTTAGTCTCACTGCCCCCCAAACTTCTCATCTATGCTTTAGGGTAACTGTTGTCCTTTGGGCTCATATAGATAATTTTTAAAAGAGTGGGGTACTCAGGGGTGACATTCTTTATTTTTTGAGCTAACTTGCTATTTAGTTAAAAGGTGACTTCCCGGGCTAGTTCCACTTCAAGGTTTAAAGAGGATCTCAGGGCAATAGTCTCAGGGTTTCCTCCAGTCTCAATGGGTCTAGTAAGTCTGGATACTTCACCATTTTTAGTAGACTAATTCTTAGAGCAGTTTTTAGGTTTACAGAAAAATTATGCGGAAATTACAGAGAGTCCCCACACGGCCCCTCCCCCTGCACAGCATTTCACTTTGTAAACCTTGCATCTGCGTGGTGCTGTTAGGTGTCGTTGAGTCAGTTTCAATGCATAGCAACCCAATGTACAACAGAACAAAACACGGCCCAGTCCTGTGCCATCCTTACAATTGTTGCTATGTTTGAGTCCATTGTTGCAGCCACTGTGTCAATCCATCTTGTTAAGGGTCTTCCTCTTTTTCACTGACCCTCTACTTTACCAAGCAACATATCCTTCTCCAGGGACTGGTCCCTCCTGATAACATGTCCAAAGTATGTGAGATAAAGTCTCACGATCCTTGCTTCTAAGGCGCATTCTAGCTGGACTTCTTCCAAGACAGATTTGTTGGTTCTTCTGGCAGTCCGTGGTATGTTCAATATTCACTGCCAACACCATAATTCAAATGCATCAATTCTTCTTCAGTCTTCCATGTGTTACATTTGTTATAATTGAACCAAGTATTATTAACTAAAGTCTATAGTTTACATAAGGGCCGATTAACATTTTTAAAAATCACCCTGGCTGCTATAGGGAGAATGGTTTGGGGGTGGTTGGGGTGGGGAGATGGTGGAAACAGGGCGTCCAGTCAAAACAAGTGTTCATGGGATTCCTTCATGAACTTAAAGAGATTTTATTATTGTTTTATAATCTACATCCAGTTTATTGCACAAATCTCGTGTACACCTTGATGTATTTTTTCATATAGTCATAATCAGATAACCTCCTCCCAGATCAAGATGGAAAACGTTTCCAGGCCGCTGAAAAGGCTTTCTCCTGCCTCTTCCCAGTCTATCTCCACATTCCACCACTGTTCCGATTTCTAAGCCCAAAGATAGTTCGGCGCATTCTAGAGCATCACATAAACAGACTCATACAGAATGTATTCTTCTGCCTGGCTTCCTTCACTCATAATATTTTGGGGAGGCATCCATGTTGTTGCGTGGCTCTGTAGTTCATTCAATCTAAAGGGGAATCTGAGTTGCAGAAAACAGGACTTCAAACCGGTTCGTTCTAGTTCCAACCCCTGCAGAGAATTTGCATTTCCACCTCAGATATACTGAATCAGAATCGACATTTTAACAAGATCCCCAAGTGATTCTTACGTATAATAAATGTTGAGAA